CCTGTTTTGTAAGAAATATTTTCACTTCTGCCAAGATGGAGGTATAGGTGGATGTGCCATGCCTTCTCACACAACCAAGTTTAGGGACAACTAAATATTAGCATCAGAAAACACAACCAGAACACGGAAAATTGAACTTTTTGGAAGTCCGTTAACAACAAATTCTTCAGCCCGACCGGTAAGGGGCGAAACCAGCATCTGGTGAGGGGTTGCACAGGAGGGCTCGGTCGGACGGACCCAGGCACGGAATCCAGACGTGCGAATCCAGACGCACGGGTTCCAAACGCAGGATTGGACCTAGTGAGCGACCGAGCAACCCACCAGGTGAGCGACTGCAGAGGAGACAGTGGGGAGGCAGTGCTGTGTGTTGACTGCGGTCGCCTATTTGTGCGAGAGCGGACAGGTGAGGGAGTGGGCGGTTGGACCTGCCGCAGAGTAGAGGGCGCCGCCATTTCCCCACTCTGACCACGCCTCCACATACAGCGTCACAACCCAGCGACCTGGGAGTCCAAGGCGCCACTTCTCTCACTTAAAGGGCCAGAACAGACCAAAAATGTCGCAAGAAGACCTCAAAGCCCCAGAGATAAATCTAAGCGACGAAGAAATAGCAAAACTCTCAGACGCACAGTTTAAAACACTGGTCATCAGGATCCTCACAGATCTGGTTGATTATAGCCACAAATTAGAGAAACATATGAAGGCTAAACTAATGGAAATGAGTGGAATTCCACAGAAAACCAATAGCGATGAAAAGGAAACTGGGACTCAAATCAATGGAGTGGACCAGAAGAAAGCAAATAATGGCCAAACAGAAAAGAGTCAAGGAGCAAGAATTCAAAGAAATGAGGAGAGTCTTAGGAACCTCCAGGACATCTTTAAACGCTCCAATATCCGAATTATAGGGGTACTAGAAGGGGGAAAGGCACAGCCACCAGTGGAAAACTTATTTGAACAAATAATAAAAGAAAATTTCCCCAATCTGGCAAAGGAAATAGACTTCCAAGAAATCCAAGAAGCTCAGAGAGTACCAAAAAAGTTGGACTCAAGAAGAAACACACCAAGGCACATCATAATTACATTAGCCAAAATTAAAATGAAGGAGAGAATCCTAGAAGCAGCAAGAGCTAAGGGGACAGTCACCTACAAAGGAGTCCCCATCAGACTGTCAGCAGATTTCTCAAAAGAGACCTTACAGGCAAGAAGGGGCTGGAAAGAAGTATTCCAAGTCATGAAATCTAAAGACCTACAACCAAGATTGCTCTATCCAGCAAAACTTTCATTTAGCATGGAAGGACAGATAAGGTGCTTCTCAGATAAGATCAAATTCAAGGAGTTCATCATCACCAAGCCCTTATTATATGAAATGTTAAAGGGACTTATCTAAGAAAAAGAAGTTAAAGAAACATGAACAGTGAAAGGACAACAAACTCACAGTTATTAACAACCACACCTAAAACAAAAGCAAACTAAAAGGACAGCTAGATCAGGAGTGGAAACATAGAAATGAAGATCTCAAGGAGGGTTAGCAACAGGGGAGTGGGAGGAGGAGATGGGGGAGAAGGTACAGAAAATAAGTAGCATAGACAGTATATAGAAAATAGATGGGGGGGCAAGAATAGCATGGGAAATATAGAACCTAAAGGACTTGAGACACATGGACATAAACTAAAGGGGGGTAATGGTGGGGATGGGGGGGCAGGGTGGAGGGGAATGAAGGGGGGAATAGAACAACTGTAACAGCATAATCAATTTAAAAAAATAAATTAAAAAAAAAAGAAATATTTTCATTCCTTTTTGACTTACTGGGGTTCAAACTCTTCTCTACTGTATTATCAGAGTGGAATGACATTGGAGCCCCAAAAGTGTACTTTGATGTTCATATTCACACAGACATTGACAAAACTGTAGGGTCCAAGTGACATATTACAGTATAAATGCGTTTCCTGGTTAGGCAATACTTTGGTCTTATGAGGAACACATAGGAGAGTACTGTTGTAAGGAAGCTTATTAGCTTCCTTATCTACATAATAGATGAAGTAATCCTATGCATGTGTTCATTTGTTTGCAGACAGGATAGGGATTCAGTAGATCTTTTGCTGCGAAACCACAAAAGTGATATTGAAGAAAGACACTTCAACAGAAATGCTAACAACCATACATATTACCTGTTACCTGAGACAACACTGATTTCATCTTCTACTGAAATGAGTACACTGACCTGTAAACACTGCAGTGTAAACACTGCAGAACGTCTTTGCCTACAACTAGCCCAGTATGAAATGTTCTAATACCACAGTGCTACCACAGTGCTTTGGAGCTTTTCATTTCTTTTTTTTTTTAAGATTTTATTTATTTATCTTTAGAGGGGAAGGGAAGGAGAGAGGGAGAGAAATATCAATGTATGGTTGCTTCTGGTGCACCCCCTGCTGGGAACTGGCCCCTGCTGGGAACTGGCCTGCAACCCACAAATGTGCCCTGACTGGGAATCGAACCGCGATCGTCTGGTTTGCAGGCCTGTACTCAATCCACTGAGTGCAGCCAGGGCTTGGAGCTTTTCAAACAATTCATTAGACTTTGAACAGAGAGACATGTACTCAGTATCAGAAAGTGGAATGTTCAGTTCATATTCATTTGGACATTCACAAAACTGTTATGTCCAATTCAGGTACTAGGCTGTACAGGAATCTATTCATTAGACAATGCTTTTTGCTGGAAAGAATACATTGGAGAATACTACTAGAGAAGCTCATTCTCCTTCAAACATCATGTGATGCTACATATGAGTTCACTAATTTTCTGCTGGAAAATAATTTCAGTAGCTCTTTCACTATCAAACATTCCATGGAAGTGATCTTTCAGGAATATACATCATCAGACTGTTGAAAACTTTACTTGTGTTCTGAAACACCACTCCTTACATCTTCTACTGAAATGGCTACAGTAAAAAGGCATTCAACAGAGTAGATGGCTATTGTTTAACCCCTCTTTGTATGAAACATTTTCACTCCCCAGTGACTTTGAGGACTGCAAATTCTTCTCTACTATATTATCAGAATGCAATGCAGTTGAAGCTGCAAAAGTGTACTTTTAATATTCATAATCACTTGGAGACTGACATACCTGTGGGGTCCAAGGGATGTATTACAATATACATGCATTTCTTAGTTAAGTTATGCTTTTCTCCTAGGAAGAAGACACTGGGCAAAACTGTGTTATGGAATCTTACTCTATTTCATAGATCAGATTGTCCTATGCATGTGTTCACTCATTGGCTGACCCAAAAGGGATTCAGAAGCTCTTCCACAATCAAATCTATCACCAAAGTCACTCTCAGAAAACAGTTCAATGTAAGTCCTAGAAATAGTATGTATGACCATAGACACTGATCATTTTACCTTCTACCATAATAAGTACATTGACCTGGTGTGTAGACTGCAGAATGTGTTTGCTTACAACCTGCTCAGTATGAAGTGTTCTAATCCCACAGCGATTTTGAGCCTTTCAAACAATTCATTACTTTTTGACAGAGAGACATGCACCCAGTGTCAGAAAGTGGACTGTTTGGCTCATATTCATTTGGACATTCACAAAACTGTTTTGTCCAATTTACTTGGCTGTACAGGCATGTCTTAGTTAGACTATGCTTTTCTGCTGGAAAGAATACATTGGAGAATATTACTAGAGAAGCTTATTCTCCTTCAAACATCCCCTGGTCCTTTGTATGAGTTCGTGCATTTTCACTGGAAAATAATTTCAGTAGCTCTTTCACTATGAAACATTCTACAGAAGTGGTATTTCAGGATATACTTCACAACAGACTGTGGAAAACAGGACTTGTTATCTGAATCACCATTCATTTCATCTGGTACTGAAGTGAGTACATTGATAAGTCATTCAACAGTATAGATAACTTTGACTGAAATCCTGCTTTTTAAGAAATATTTTCATTGCTTTCATTCCTTGACCTAGTGGGGTTTTCACTAGGTCAACGAACAAAATATTCCCGCTTTTTAAGAAATATTTTCATTCCTTTCATTCCTTGACCTAGTGGGGTTCAAACTTTTCTCTAATTTATAATCAGAGTGGAATGCAGTTGGAGCCCAGAAAATGCACTTCTATGTTCATACGCACTTAGACATTCACAAACTTGTAGGGTCCAAGTGACGTATTACAGTATACCTGCATTTCTTTGGCTACACTTTGCTCCTAAGAGAAACACCCTGGAGAAAACTGTTGTATGGCAAGGAGTAACTAGTTAGCAGCTTCACCAGAAACAGACTGGGCCCACAGTGCTGATGACCCCATGACTCCTGGACATGTGTTGGCCTCCACAGACCTTTTAGAAGTGTACCACCTAAAACATGTGCCATACACATGGATGTGGAGAACACGCCCACAGAGCCCAAGGCTGAGATGAGAAGATAACCCAGATTATTTTTACAATGTAGTCAGAGGAAACCAGTTGAATCTAGAAATCCCTGGGTGTCTTTTTGAGTGTCAGCATTGGACAATATTGTCACGAAACTAACCTAATTTTCCCTTCATCAGTGCTGTCCTGCAGTTTCTGATTGAGAGATTTCTACCCTCTTATATTTTAAAATAGTCGAGTGGCCTAAAATGGAAATAAAACTCATAAAAACAGCAGTGGATTTGAAAACATACTTGTGCTTTGGCTATGTGATGCCAAATCACTTGGGGCATCTAAATTAAACCGTGGCATAAAACTGAGGATACAAACACCTGCTTATGTTTTATACAATGCTGAGTAATGGTCACACAAAAAAACGTTCAAGAAAACTCTTGGCAAGATTGTTGTGTGCAACCTTCTAAAGGCCATTTCCTGGGGTGACAGCAGAATGCATTTCATGAAAGACCACGCACTGAGCTTTCCCACCCTGCCAGCAAAGTGAAATGTAACTGTGCTCTCCACATGCGACAGTCACACACCTGCTTCTTTTCCTGACACCACACTGAGTGTTTACTTAGTACTCTGTAATTATACCAGTGGGAACATTTTCTCTCAACTCCCTCTTTTTGCCCAGGGGCCATGCTAATCTTCTCTGTATCATTCCAATTTTAGTATATGTGCTGCCGAAGCGAGCACTCAACTGCTTCTTTTTGGAGAGACAACTGCAATCAGAGAAACAGAAAGTCAAAGTTTCCACTTACTGTTCAGGGTTTGTGATGAAAAGTTATAGAATCGGACTATCAAATAGGATCTAATATTAGATTTAAAGCCTGTAGCAAAATAGGTTTTGTAAATACTCTCCTTGCTGAAAAAAAAGATTCTTAAAATACTTTAAAAGCCAAAACTTTAAAATTTATTTAGAATTACCCTTGCTATAAAAGTCATATTGTGAAACTGTTATTTTAATTACAGATAATTATTCAGAAAAGTTCTAGTAATTCAGAAATGTCCTTTATTTGGATAAATATTTTGAATCATTTGCTCAATGCTATTACTTACCCCTACACACACTAAGAATCAGAAATGATCTAATGTGGCTGTAATAGAAGGAGGAACACAGAAAATACATTTTCCCCATGAAAAGAGTCTATAATTAATAAGTACTGCCACATGTGTTTATTAAAATCAAAATCTACAAGGTTACTTAGAAAAAAGGATTCCTCTTTTCTCCTCAAAACTTTTACACATAAATATAAAACTTCCTATACAGAGCTTATAAAATAGTGACCTATTTTAGGAATAAGAATGCGCTGTGGTGAATTTTATTTTATGTGAATTATATTACAAAAAGTAATAATGATTTAATAAAATCCACAAAAAAAAATACTTCAGAGAAAAGAGCTGTTTTGAGGCATCATCCCAGATAATACAACTCTAAGATCTGCAACATACCTCAAGAATTTCAGAGATCAACATTTGCAAGCATTATTGGCCTGGGTTACTGCTTATTAGAGACTCAACTTTTCATACCTAAAAGTTTACTTTGATGAAAACATGTTTATTTTTCACAAGTAAAACTGCATTCATTGCCCTCTGTACCCTTAATAATTCTATTTTCCTTACACAGTCTTTTCATTTACATTTCATCAAAGTAATCTTTTCTTTTACAAGGTTTTGACTTATTTCCCAAAATAGAAAAGCATAAAGTTGTAAAGCATTCTAAACTTAGGGAGAAAAAGCCACACAAATAAAAGCATACTGTCTTAGTTGGGGAGTAAGGGAAAGGAGAATGCTTGGAATGACAACTATCTGGATTTTCAAGAAATTCTTCTTCCACCTCATTGGACCTCTCTTGGCTTTCCCAACTATACACACATGTGCCAAGCTGTGATGTGCGCACAGCCTTGTTGGGACTCCAGGGCCCAGCTATAACCCTAGAGTTTCTATAGAGACAGCAGGTTGGCAAGACTCACTGTGGGAGTCCTCGTAAGCAGCCCAGAGAAACTCCTCATGGGGCTGAAGGTGCTTTCAATAGCAGGGCCCTGTAACACGTTTGCAATGGCTGCTATTCAGAGCTTGACCCATCCTCCCTCAGGGAAACTTTCCAACTTCCTGTGCTTTCTGAGTACCTGTACTAGGTGTGCAGGGAAAACAGGAAAACCAACTGTCTGAAGAAGTCATGGAAAAAGCAGCTGAGATAGGCAGGACTTTCAGCTCAGCCCAGCCTGCACCTCAGCAGTGTGAGGGAAAGCTCTTCATACCCAAGAGGGCAGACAAAGAGCAAACAGAACATACATCTCACCTATAAAAATGTCCTCTGGACACTTAATAATGCAGCTCTAACTACACCAACACTTCCAAGTTAACTGGCTGGAGTTGATCTAAAGTGATCAGTCAATTTAGATGCGATGGCTTTAAGAAGCAGCAGAAACTGCAAAAGATGGAGCCTTGCATTCATGAATTTGAGATGATTATTTATGGAAAAACCAAGATGGTTTTATAGAGCATTTATTCTTACATGACATCTAAGGCTCTAGGTGACCACTGGCACCTCTGCGCAAGCTCCTTTCAGCCAAGCATAACCAGTACACAAAGACTCAAGGTTCAAGGGACATACATGGTAAACACACCAAAGGCAGAAGCGAAGACCATGGAGGTCCAGTGGTGCTTGACTTCCTCAGGAATTCCGGCAAGAGCTTGCCTAAAATGGAAGGAAGGGGCTGGTCTAAGATGGGGGCTGGGGGAATGGGAGAAGAGGTAGGGCAGTAAGTTCCCCTGGGCTCAGGCCCTGCAGGGGCTAGGAAACTTCCAGTGCATTGGCAGGGCCCTTTGGGGAGCCCTGGTTCACTGGGCTGGAGCACACCCTGCTGGCCAGTACTAATATCACACCCAGCCTTTGGGCTGCGGACTCAAGCCTGGAGACTCCACAGTTCTTCTTTCTTAGCATTCATTCTTCCACGCGTATCATCTTTGTAAAAACTTTATTTGGCAACTCCCTCAACGCACTTGCCAATTTTTATTTCAGTGACACTTTTCTGGCTCTTCAGAAAATACAGAAAAACATGAAAATAAAAGTCTATATAATCCCATCAGTAAAAATGACTTTTATTTTTTTTTAAATTTTTTGAGTTATTTTTCAAGTACAGTTTTCTTTTGTCAATTTCTCCCATCCCAACCCCCCCCTCCGCCCCTTCTCCCCACCTTCCTCCCATCCCCCCCCTCCCCACAGACCTCTTACTTTTAACACTTAATAAGAACAGTAGTGATGGTCATTGTCCTGTTGTCGGATCTATGTCCAGCCCTTTCTCTGTTTCAAGCCGGCTGGTAGGCAAGAGGTTGGAAAGTGGGAGGAAGGATCAAATATATGTGTTCCTCTGTCAGCTTTTAGAAGGAACTTTCCAGCAACAGCTGTACCTGCTCTGTGATTCCAGGTCCCACAAGTACCCAGCTTCAGTATCCTGGTGACACCTTCTCCAGCCCTGGAACGGCGGCTTCCTGCCATTACTCGTCTCAGGGTGTCTCAACATGATTGGCTTCTCTGTCCTCCCATCACCTGTGAAGCATTTCCTATAATTAATTCCCTTTGACACACCTACAGTGGTTTACTTTCCTGACTACATCATGATTGATATGTCAGATTAATAACTTTTGGTTAATTTATCACTCAATATTATTTTATAAAAGTTTTCCTAACTGGAAAGCATTATGCTGAGTGAAATAGGCCAGGTGTTGAAAGACAAATACCATATGATCTCACCTTTAACAGGAAGCTAAACAACAAAACAAACAAGCAAGCAAAAAAAAAAAAAGACACTGAAATAGAGAACAAGGGGACAGTGACCAGAGGGGAGAAGGAAGGGAAGTTAAGGGGAAAAAGGGGGAGGGATTTGAAGGAACAAATAGGAAGGACACAGGGACGAGAACTAAGGGGGGTGGAAATGGGAGGGAGGTGGGGAGCAAGGGGCGGGGGAGGCTGGGATGGGAGAAATAGACAAAAAACTGTACTTGAAAAATAACTAAATAAAATTTTTAAAAAATAAAGTAATCGTTGATAGAAAAAAAAAAGTTTTCCTGTATCTTTAGTTTTTTACAAGCCTTTCCTAATAGCTGCATGTCTTATATCATACCTTAATTGGCTCACATCATTTAAGTTTCCAATGTTTGTTTAAAGTATAATATTGGTATGAACATCTGTATGTATCACCTTATATCCACATTTCTAAGTTATTTGCTTAAACTAGATTTCTGGAAGTGACTAAAAAGAAATTATTCATTTTAAGGTTCCTGGTAAATATTGCCCAGAAGTCCCCAGGAAGAAAGGTTCAGACCAGTTTACATTCCACCAGAGGCCTAAAACAACTTGTCTCACCATTCCCTCTGCACCTCTGATTACATTAAATTACTAATTTTATCTGGTTATTAGGTTTTTTATTTGTTTTTAATTGATTTTTAATTTTATTTTTTTAATATATTTTATTAATCATGCCTTTACGGTTGTACTATTTCCCCCCTTCATTCCCCTCCACCCTGCACACCCCCTCCCCCACCATTCCCCCCTTTAGTTTATAACCACGTGTCTCAAATTCTTTAGATTCTATATTTCCCATACTATTCTTGCCTTCCCCCCTATTTTCTACCTACCATCTATGCTACTTATTTTCTGTACCTTCTTCTCCCCCCTTCTCCTCTTCCCACTCCCCTGTTGCTAACCCTCCATGTGATCTTCATTTCTATGGTTCTGCTCCTGATCTAGCTGTCCTCTTAGTTTGCTTTTATTTTAGGTGTAGTTCTTAGTAACTGTGAGTTTGCTGTCCTTTCACTATTCATCTTTTTTAACTTCTTTTTCTTAGGTAAGTCCCTTTAACATTTCATATAATAAGGGCTTGGTGATGATGAACTCCTTGAATTTGATCTTATCTGAGAAGCACTTTATCTGTCCTTCCATTCTAAATGAAAGCTTTGCTGGATAGATCAATCTTGGATATAGGTCCTTGCCTTTCATGACTTGGAATACCTCTTTCCAGCCCCTTCTAGCCTGTAAGGTTTCTTTTGAGAAATCCACTGACAGTCTGATGGGAACTCCTTTGTAGGTGACTGTCCCCTTTTCACCTGCTGCTTCTAGAATTCTCTCCATTTTAATCTTGGGTAATATAATTATGATGTGCCTTGTTGTGTTCCTTCTTGGGTCCAACTTCTTTGGGACTCTCTGAGCATCCTGAACTTCCTAGAAGTCTATTGCCTTTGCCAGATTGGGGAAGTTCTACTTTATTATTTGTTCAAATAAGTTTTCCACTTGTTGCTCTTCCTGTTGCCCTTCTGGTACCCCTATAGTTTGAATGTTGGAACATTTCAAGATGTCCTGGAGATTCCTAAGCCTCTCCTCCTTTTTTTGAATTCTTGATTTTTCATCCTTTTCTGTTTGATCATTTTTTTCCTCCTTCTGGTCTACTCCCTTGATTTGAGTCCCAGTTTTCTTCTCATCACTATTGTTTCCCTGTGCATTTTCCTTCATTTCACTTAGCATAGCCTTCATTTTTTTCATCTAATTTATGACGAAACCCAACCAATTCTGTGAGCATCCTGATCACCAGTGCTTTGGACTGTGCATCTGATAGGTTGGCTATGTCTTTGTTGCTTAGTTATATGTACTGTGGAGCTTTGATCTGTTCTTCCATTTGGGACTTTTTTTTTTTTTT